GTCAGACAAAGCGGATATAATAATAACTTTAATGTTATTTTCTTAATACTTTGACATGCCACTTTGTATAAAGATGATTGCTGAAATATAAAGCCTAATACAATTACGGAGAAATCATGTATAAGATCCAAATAAGTCAACCTGATCAAAAGTCTGTGTCATTGTATATGCTTAAAACAGTATATAATGACAATCAAACATAATTACTTGACAAATATACTAATTATTTATCATAAAATGTCAGTAAATCTGTCAAATAGTCTAAAGGAATGTAGTTTGTTATGTCCATTCTTTGACTAAATAAGCAAATCTTCTCAGGTAAATTTAATTTGGATTTTTACATATATCCCAAAGCAACAGACATTGAAAACAATCAATGAAAAAAACCAAACCTTAATAAAAAAAACTTTGAAGAATATTTACCGTAATCCAATACAGAAAATGTATAGTATTTTGGTCAGACTAAATTATTTTATTAGCTATGAAAACAATGTATGATTTAATAGGGAAAAGAAAAACACATATTATGGATCTCTTATGATATAATTCAAACACACATGCTAATTAAGTTAAATGCAAATGCTACATATCAATATTGAGATTTTTATATAGTGCCTCACGATGTATAATCAGGAATACTCAAACATAAGCATCATCGTTCATACAAGCGGAGTTCCGGAAATAAAAAGAAAAAATATCCACGTGATTTCATTACTAGTATGTAATTATAATATCAATAAACTGATGCATTCACCAATTACTAACATAAATCAGCCTTAACTGATATACCTCGATTCTCTACCAGGCCTTAGCGTTATAAAAGTTTCGAGTACCATTATCGAACTCAGACTCAGAAGTCAACCTATGAAAATACTGGATTTTGTGTTTTGAGCACAAATCTTGTACTCACAGTAACGGGTAAAGTTTTATGACCGACAGTACAGGTCTTATTTTCTAATACTAGTTCAAGCAAATATTAATCTCCTTGCGTAAAAAACGTATTTCTATAACTAATTAAGTAATAAAACCCATGAATTTCCGTATATTATAAACGTATGTTGCCAGATACATCTCAATTTATCTTTATAACACCCACCAGTTCAACAATTACTCACATTTGTATTTACTTTTAAAAAAACAAAACATTTTGCATGTCATATACAATTTAAATAAAGGAAACAGTAGTTTAACGCTATTCAATAGTCATATTTCGATTAAGCAAAAACAAATCCGGGTAACAAACTAATACCGAGGGAAACAAATAAACTATAAAAGGAACAAAAACGGAACAACAGAAACACTGAACTACAACAAAAGCAAACGCCAACATACATAGAAACGGGCTGTGTGATAACAACTGCCATATTCTTGACTTCGTACAGGACATTATAAGACAAATGGTGGGTTGAACCTGGTTTTATAAAAAGAAGCTGTCATTCGTTTCCGTGTTTTATTTTCAAAACAGATTTTTATGTCGAATTCATCTTGTTGACGTTGTCGAATCAGTTTGTATCTCGAATTCATAGGTGTGAATATTGTTCATTAAATCAATTCCAAATGTTCTTCGTGGAAGAATACATAGATAGATTGATTTTTAAAATCAATGGTTAACCTTAAGGTGTAATACCCCTATTTATCTTTGTTAAATTTGCAATTTTCCAAAAATTGTGCAGAATATATCTTTGTTTCTAATAAAGAAATACTTGGCATGAGTAAAGTTTTATCCTGTCCAGTACTACAGACACAATTTCACATAACATTCCATTACATATAAGAAAAAAGCCATCACTGGAAGTTAACCAATAAAATTTTCAATCTTTTTTCCCTGTGTACAAGTTTTAGTAACCATGTAACCTCAAGTTTCCAAAATATTTTATAGAAGCACCAAATAAAAAAAGAATCGTGCTTTGAAACACCCAAGATATATGTTTAGGACTCAGAATTTTTTTACTGCAATGAAATGTAGGATTAATTTCCTACAACGGTCAAATTCAAGGGAATATTTTTTTCCGACCCGTTTTCGTATGCAACCGGATGTGACGTACTATGATTTTGTGGTATTACACCTTAAAGTTTCTTTCACTGAAAAATGACAAATCTTTTTTGATAACTTGCTTCATATTTTAGCAGATTCATGGGTAATAATCATTTTGAATCAGTCTTATTTTATACATTTTTACATACATCTATTAGTACTTCCTGTATAAAATAACTGAGGGACTTCCACACGACGTTGAGAGCTCAACCTAGTTTTAGAATACAAAGAAATTGTACTGGCGATTAAAATGAAGACCATTGTTTGGTGTTATTCTATATTTAAGGTTGCTACTCCCTAAAAGATGAACTGTTTCGGTTATTCTCGTAAGGTTGTTTTTGTTTCTATCAACAGGCATAATGGACTTATCCCGATTTAGTCAATGCATGATGGCCCTTAATTCAATAACTTCTTTGTAAACAGCAAATCTTTACCAAGGTATCATGATTGGAAGAACAAGCTATGTTATATCGTATCAACTGTGAATTATATACTCCATTTGCAGGCGTTGTTGGAATGTTGGTACATAAAAATAACTGAAATTATTTTTATCGTCGTAACATTAAGTTCTGAACTGATCCTCAATGTCGATTCTATATGTTAGTCAAGATATGAAGCATAATAAACCGTAGCTGTGGTATACCATTCCAAGTTCGATGGGATATATGTGTTCAATATAGCCATCAAATGGAGTTATATGGTGAGGGGACATCATCTAATATGTATAACGGAAAAAGTCGCAAGTAGAGGAGTACATCTGTTTCCCTTAGGAATGCTGATTGTCTGTTAAAAAACACGTCCTCCAAACGTAAAAAATATGTTATCAATAACAGAAATCTTGATGATATGTGTTTCAGAGAAAACAAATTTGAATCAGAGTGTTATTTTTACAAATTATGATTTATCATTTCCTAAAACAAGGTATTTGTATTTATGATAATAATTCATTTTGAAAAGTTGAATTCATTTTTTTCAATATGTCGTCATCCTTATTATCCTAGTATATTTGATGACCCTGTGTCAACTTCAGTCATATGATATAGTACATTTATTTACGACCATAGAATTTCAGGGGGGGGGGGGGAATCGACGAATTGTGAGTGCCAAATGTAACCTCACCGAAACTATGTTGTAGTGTGGGGACAGTTTACAACTATTAATTTTAATATGTTTCGTCCTGTAATTTTATTTCAAAAACGATGTAAAATAATCATAAAAAGGTATGCTCTACATGTCCAAACAGTTGATATTGTCTTGTATACAAAACAATTGGGACATTTATCAAAACACTTGCAGTACAAATTAGTTTTTGATAACAAACTAATAATCAATTAATGATATATGTGGTATAAAGAATAAGACAAGTGTGGTCAGGCGATACTATAGGCGATAAAACATATTTGAATAGGTTAGATTTATATCAAATTTAAACAGAATTAGAAGTAGGTCAAACTTGTCACAAAGGTCACCAAGTCAACTTATATCATTCTTACTTATACTTAATCTAGTACAATTATCGCAAATTTTCATTGTAACTAAATCTCATAGAAAAAAAATTGCACATCACCAAATTTCAAAACGTTGGTGTAGTATTCTTACCGTCTATACTCCACAATAGTGAAGCCATTTTATGGGAATGCCACTTATTATACGATAACACTGAAAAGTCAGAATTTAGAAATCAGCCACAACAGAAGGCGTAAGCTAAGATCATCTTATTATAAGCCTATTATTTTATTAGTTTTTATATGTTCAAAATTTAAAATAATAATAATAAAGCACAAAAATTTAAGAAAAGCTAAACAAATGAAAAGAATTTGTAAAGCCGGTGAAGTGGCAATATTCTGGTTCATATACAGATATGCCAAACAAATATCTTTTCTTTGTTATTTTATCATCAAAACTAACCTTGACAAATCACTTCAACTTCTGGATACAATTATATCAGAAAATATAGAAGACAACGGACCAAGATATATATTACAAAAGATAAAAAAAAAAAAAATCAAACGTATCATTGATTTCCGCGCTTACAACATGTACATTTTGTTTCTTTATAGGAGAAACAACAATGATAAGTACAATTCTAATTTCAAACCATTTACATATAGCCATGAAACACAAGATTTTGTTGCAAATCTAGATTCTACATAAAGTAGAAGCAATTACTTTTTGATTTACTTTAACAGATGTAGACATCGCTTGCAGTCAATTCAATTCTGTGCAGTTACAGTTAATTTTAGGATGATGTTAAAGCGTACAGCAGCTACTGAGCAGTATGAAAATAGACTGAACAGATCTTAATTGAATGCAAGCGAATTGTATGAACAGTACTGCATTTACCGTAGTGGATAAGTCTGAAAATTGACTAGGTATGTCTTTTTGATTGAGTTAAGCCATTTCAATTGATATTTTATAGTGTGTCTTTCTATGTTGTAATGTTACACTACTATTTCAGGTTAGCGTGAAGGTTGGCGCCTGTTAAAACGTTTAAACCCGCTGCATTTGTTTGCACCTGTCCTAAGTCCTCAGTGGTTGTCGTTTGTTGATGTGGTTCTTAAGTGTTTCTCGTTTCTCGTTTTTTATATAGATTAGACTGTTGGTTTTCCTGTTTGAATTGTTTTACACTAGTCATTTTGGGACCCTTGTTGTTCGGTATGAGCCAAGTCTCCGTGTTGGAGGCCGTACTTTGACCTATAATTGCTTACTTTTTACACATTATGACTTGGATGGAGAGTTGTCTCATTGGCACTCAAACCACATCTTCTTATTTCTATGAAAACTGAAAATGACTCAATATTTTTTTTTCAAGTCATTTTAGAGCTGTTCAGATCAAAATGACCTTTTCAGATCCACATTGTTTAACTAGTGTTATGTTCATACGTTTTCATATATATGTTGATAGTGTAAAGAAAATTATTCTTGGCAATGACATTTATGATAAAAAAATTAATGTGTCACTCACCTTTCTACCCGCTCGATTGTTGTGTTTATTCATTAACGAACGTGCGTTTTCCTTTATTTCTCTTGCATCTAAAAATTTTCTAGAGAATTTTAGTCCATGTTTGATATCAGCACTACACCCTCCCCACTTCCAACCGTTCGCATCATAATGTCCAGTCTTTTTAGATCGATCACAACTACAACGTTTTAATCGTCCTAAACTACACGCTTGTGTCACTTCATATGTTACACCGGCAGAGTTTATAGCATAGGAAAAAGCAGCTTCTTTGCTTCCTGTAAAGATAAAAATTATTTATTCATTATATTCTGTGACTGTTGCTTATTTCTCTACAATATTGACTTGCATTTATTTATCTCTTTAACTTTAATCGCAAAGAAAATCATAATAATTTTATGTTTTTTGTTTTAGATTACTGTGAAAAAGTATAACAAAAATACCAAACTCAAAGGTAAATTAAAAAAGGGGGGAGTCCATAAAACTGACAATATCAAACTTTGTGAACCAACGGAAACGAATGAATAACAACTGTCTTATTCCTGACTTTGTAAATGCATTTGCGAAGAAAATGGTGTGTTAAACCTGGCTTTATAGCTAGCTAAACATCCCACCTGTATGACAGTTGTAAATAGTTCCATTATATTGACAAAATTGTGTGAGCAACCCAAACAGCCATAATAGGTTAATGTAACAATAATTAGGATTAAGCAGCCAAAACTGTGAGCCATGACATCTGAAGGATGAGAACTAATAAAATGGTTTTAAAGTTTATTTTAACATGTACATCATTTTAAATTAATTCTGTAATTCACTCAGACACTGTTCCTTTCGATGTAACTTTTTTTTTATCTCTACTTTTTGTAATTTCGGCTATTCAGGAAACATCGAAGTTATCTTTGCCAAATAAAAAGTATTTCTAGGTTACCCAATCACAAAATCTTAAGATGTATACAAAACGGCATTTTACAAATAAATTTAATTGCATCCTGTAAATACGTTAACAATATATTTTATATTCTTCCACTTCCTTTCATTAAGGTGCTGATATGGAGCGTTTGGTTTTCAACAATTACAACACAAGGCTGAGGTACTAAAAACTTTGCACATGATATCTAAAATAATTCTAATTTTAACATACATGTACTTTAAAATAAAAATATTCATTAAATAGCTGCAATTTTATACTAATAATTTCTTAGCTGCAGTTTTATTCTAATAATTTTTCGTATGTCTACATCTATATAAACAACTTATTGTTCTAATTTTAAAAGGACACTTAAAACCTACAATCACAAAGCAAAATGAGGTTACCGATATCTGTTTGTTTTCGCCTCGGTATACAATCATGAATACACTTTATACTCAAACTGGATTACGATGTTGATGCTATATGTAAGAATAAATAAAGGCAACGGTAGTATACCGCTGTTCAAAAGTCATTATTCGATTAAGCAAAAACAGATCCGGGTAACAATCTAAAACCGAGGGTAACACATCAACTATAAGAGGGAAACAACGGAACAACAGAAACACTGAACTTCAACAAAAGCAAACGCCAACACACATAGAAACGGACTGTCTGATAACAACTGCAAACAATAACACATGCAAATTAACCGAGTAATCGAACAAACAATAATTGCTTTCAATTCGGAGTTTTGATGGGCCCAATCTTCAGTTTTCTGTTTAGTATTTTGTTGATTTTTTTTCTTGGTTGTCTGCCCATGTTGCCAATTCATTACAGTTGGAACATTGGTTGATTCGTTTTGCTTTTATAACTGTAGCTCACTGAGCAATGTAGCCAACCAGTATTTCCCTGATGGAAGGAAGACTCTGCGGTTTGAGTAAATTCTAAGTTCGGGAAATATCAAAAAGAGCTAAAAAAATTAACTACGTATGCCCGGAATTTGACAGTAAGGTGGACAGCAAAGGTAAAAAGATTTTGTTTTTGAAGTTTATCATTATATGCATTTTTGACACGTCAATAAACAGATTTAAATCATTCTTTATTACCATATTACAATGTGTCTATATTTTTTGAATTCTGATCACGAAGCAGAGGAATAAACTATATCTGTGTGTATATTTGCCCTTTTAAGCAAACATTAAACACATTTCTCACTGTCATGAGATAAAACATTAGTTTTTGTACTTTATTCAGAATCCATTATGTAATAAATCGAGTATAAATATTATATAACAGTACAATTGAACTTGATAGATAATATGTTGACTACAGTACACAATTTTACAATGGTAACAACCGATAAAGTTAAATACAGTTCTAATTGGCAGTTATCCCCCGTGCTCCATACAGGAAGTTGACCTGCAACGACACCTTTTTACGTGCATGATCTGAGACCACAACACGTGGTAAGGTTGAGTAGTTATATGTCCTTTATTGTATTATATCTCAATTGTTCTTGTTATTTTATGTAGAAATAATTAATTATATTCTGTTAATTATCCAGTTATTGACAACGATGACACTAATTGAAAGATAAATATTGCGTATTTCATAGCGATTAATACTGATAAGTTCTTCTCTTAAATAATGCAAACTGTAGATTTTAATTTGAAGAGTAACGGGCGTAAAAAAAATAGTTTTGAACTTTTTTTGTAGGTTCTTATTGTTAGCAACAACGTTTAAAAGCAATCGTATAGAATCATGTCTAAAAGTCAAGCACGCTACAGCCTGAATTATATGCTAAGCGAAACAGATTTCAGGTAAGAAGGTAGATTGTTGTCGGTCTGCCTCTCGGTATATATTGTTTTTAAATAAAAAAGATAACAAATAGTGTTTTACTAGAAGTTACAATCATGCACGGTAGGTAGTGTGCTGTTTATTTTTAAATTCTGCCCTTATCCAGCATATGTTGCCTAAAATTTTCTCTCTTAATTTTAACTGTTTCACATTCAATTAATATTAACTTTCCTATCAACAACCTACTCTGTAATTCTGTAACTAGCATCGACACGTACCTTTAATTGACAACCTGATCTGACCTGACCTAACCGGACTGGACAATGGGACCTAGTTGGTGTCATTTCCGTGAATCACAATGGTTTGGGGTGAATATACTAATAATGCACTGTTTAGTCAATACGTAGGTGTTTCCGATAGTACTAAATAATAGGTGTCGATTCTTAATTCCATCCATGTACAACTAGTGAACTGTGGCATCTGCCATATTAAGGTTACGACTGGAGGAAACATAAAGTTTAGATCGGTGATAACCAATCAAATCTAAGCGAAAAGAATAATTTGTGTCCATCAGGAAAATTGATATTCTAGTCGTGTGCTACAATACCGCAGAAAACTGATAAATTGTTCAGAAAAACGCGGAAGTTGTTCATTATCGTGTACAGGTTTGTTTAACGATATGCTATATGAATCTAAATTTTAATTTGACACAAACATCTGCTTCGTATTGAACCTCATACAAATTATTATTGTCGATGCTTAATCAAGCGTTCAAAAGGTGCTGAATTAGCAGTGTCAAATTTTATAAACCCTGGAGCATCACTGATCTGGACAAACATGGCTGCCACACCGTAGGAAAGCTTATTAGAAACGCATCCCTTCAATTATGGTTTCAGATTTATTAGTATGAAGTCAGTTGTAGGTCGTTTGTATCCGTCTTTGTCGAACTATCAACAGTTATATCTTTAGTATAATTTAAATTTTATTTTGTTTGTTGCTGCTTTACAATGGTTAGTTCAGCTGGCCTCAGGACTAAGTCAATTTCATAAATTAGGAGCAATAATTATAAGTTTGGTTTAAGTGTTAAATGACACTTAAAAAACCACATCGTTTACAATTTGAATGAACTTATTGGGCTGTGACAAAATGGAAAAGTATGATATCGGCATATTATTTGATTTCACGTGTTAAGTTCAAAACCCATTATTTTTGGAATTTTTGCTGCATCATTTCTTTTAATATTTTAACTTTCCAAAATATAATCCATATGTATAATATAACATAATTATATGATAAGTTGCAATGCACACGAATTTTTACAGCTGAAGTGTTTCTATCTCGATGTAAGATACTGTAGGAATCTCATTGATGACATCACCAATCACTATTCATCCCCTGAAATTTTACTTGAAATGAGCATCACGACGTGTGTCTTCAGTGGAGCAGGATTTGCTTACCATTCAGTAGAACCTTGGTTTTCCTATTTTGATGTTCGTGTTGCTCAAGCTTTATGTTTCTAACCTTTTTGTTATAGTCTTTATTTCTTCCGGCCATGGCGTTGTCAGTTTTTCATTGACTTTTTAAGGTTATGATTGACAATTTGGTATCATCCTTTTTTTGTATAAAAGGACGGCTACCTAGTTCCCCAGTTATCAGTTGAAGCAATGATTATAATTATGAGAAATTGTGGTCATACAATGAAGGTTGACAATCAACAAACGATAAGGTAAAAAAAAAAAGAAGAAAAAGCTTTATACCCAAGCCTTGTGTAGAGGATCACACGATCTAAGCGTATAATTTGCATTGATATTTTAAATAATTCCAATAAATTGTGGTTTAACTGCTGTTGTCTTTCCATTGTTCCCGTTTCCCTCAGCAAACAAAATGTTTATTAGTATAGGAACATCTCATGTAAACTATATATCATTAACAATAATATGTACAGTATAATCAATCATAATTAAAGCCATCAGCTATTTGGTTTTAATTTCGCAATATATATTTATAAGAATAGAAACGAAAATTAACATATGTATCTCGAAACTCTCCGTTCAATTTAGCATAATAAGTGCCATTTTCGATAACGTCACAATTTGTTGAGAACTATTAACACTGTTCATTCATCAAGATTGCTACTTAATAGATATTCTTAGTTTATGTTAAAAGATGATCCTTTCAATGTCAAAAATGAAATATTAATTCGACATCAATATGATCACATCCCTGTATTTTCAATTCATTCTTTATATGCGGTAACATGAGATGAGATGATTAGTCATTAACGGTTATTATGTACATTTCTCACACTTGTGTATGTTAGTTTTGGTAATTGTATATTCCTAACAATGATATACCTATTACTTGGGATGAGATAAACGTACGGGGCTATTTTTTTTTATATTTTCTGAATTTGAATTTATCGAAGTTATGAAATTTTTTTTTTCTATGTTCTTCTAAATTGTATTTCTAAATTCTCTTTACGGGCAGACTATATTCGAATAGAACTTTAGGAATTTGTTGGTGTTTTGGTATATTTTATGTACTCCCGTTTGTAAAGACTTCGGGTGCAACACAACATTTTTGCGGTTTCATTATGTCACATACTTGATAAGTTCGTCGGTCAAAGACGGCCTTGTGAATGGATTTTCAAATCTGCCGTTGCCTTAAGTGTAGTTTTGTTCACAGGAATGAAACGTTGTCTTTCCAGCGTTTCCGTCTATAGAACAAGTGTTTCACAGAAAACGAAGTACTGACAAATTATCGTTCGGAAATGAGGTGAAACGTTTACGATGATGACTTGCTTATATACTATTTATGAATGACACGTTGAATAATTCGTATTATGTGAATCATAAATTTGTCAGGCACAAAAATAAACAAATCTCTTTATTTCGGACATAATCATTCTTATTTGGAAATAAAACAAAGCTTAAGGGCATATATAGGAATAGTGAGCAAAAAGAGATATTTTGTTGTGAACAGGAGGCTATTGAGTTACTGAAATTATAGAAAATGGGTTTGACATTTTGCAAATGTCACACAAAATGTCCGAAGACTGGTAAGAAATTTAGGTAACACCAAACAAAAAAATAGGAAACTTTCCACAATATTTATACCAAAAGAGGAGGACAAAATGACTGTCACAGTCCTGATTTTAAAACGACACTTTCTACGGGAATTGTGATTATCAGACACTTTAGAACATTATGAATATCAATTGATGACGCCATTCTTGTAAAAAGTACACTTAAGGGAAAATATGATGTTAAATATTTTGATTATGATGCATGTTTTAGTGTTCAGGAATGCTTCAGGCCAATATTTTTATGATATGTGGAAAAATGACAACCTAAAATCATACATAGAAAACCCGGAAACAGTCTAAGGTCACTTTTGCCTCAGGGAGATACATCTTACTTTTAGTAATATTGCATAATTCATTAATTGTATATTTCAACAAATTATAAATAAAAATCCGGGAATATGCCGACCTTGATATGATGCAAATTTCGGAAAGGCAGAAGCAGAGCTTGAAAACGACATATAAATGTGAAGAACATAGGGTCTTTAAAAATATATTATTCTAAATTGTACCTGATAACGATGTTTGTCGTTTTTTATATTAACCAAAATCCTGGATCAGTCCTGGGCCCTCGGTCATAAAACTTTACTCGGTTCTCGGAGTACACAATTTGTGCTCGAAACACCAAATCCAGTATTTTGATTGGTTGATTTCTGAGTCTGAATACGATAATCATGCTCGAAAGTTTTATGACCGCAAGGCCTGGTCTTTGATTAACCTTTTTCAAAGGGGGATTGAAATTTAATTATTGTCAAACTATCAAGAATGTAGCTTGAAATCGTATTCACTTAATATGTTAATTGAAAAGTATAGTATGAACCCTTTGTTAGTCAACTGGTAGTGATTAAAAAGGGGAGAGATTTATATCTTAGTTAACCCCACTGAAATTTACGTGCCGGTCTCCAGCTAGGAACGTCATCAGTAATCGCCTCATTCTATACATATATACCGTTGAACTTATTCCCAACTTAATGTCGTTTGGTTGTAAGTGTCGTTCGGTTGCTGTCCCATTGGCTTATACACGACACCTCCTTTTATCAAAATAAACATTTAATCCTATGTGAATGTTACATTATTAGTGACCAACAGTCCCCTAACAGCTGTATTAAGTTGATGAAGTGACTGTTGTGTAATGAAAACATTGTCGTTTGTAGCTGTATATCATATTTGTTTTGTAAAAAAATTAGGCCTTTAGTTTACTCGTTTGAATTGTTTAACATTTGCTAGTTTGAGGCCTCTTATATCCTGTTATGCGGTAAGGGCTTTGCTCATTGCTGAAGGCCTAACATAGTCCTATAGTTACTAACTTCTACGTCAATTGGAAACAAGTGCAGAGTTATCTCATTGTCAATCATACCACATCTTATTATTTTTATATAGGTCCTATTTATTGCATGTATATTTCTAAAATAAGGCATGATCAAGCTAGGTATGGGTCGAGAATCCTTTTTGCAAAGGGATATTAATTCTGTCACTGATAACTATACAGAAGAAACGGAACAATTGTATCTGTACTCTAGTTTAATTTTATAGAGGCTTTGGCTATACTTTTTGTTTTTTTTTTGGTTTTAGCATCTCTTCAAATTTTGAACTGTTTTCGGATATTCATATATTTGTAGCCTCTAGCATCACTGAAGAGACATCAAATGTCTAAATGAGCATCTGGTTCAGTTAAATACTAGAAGGTACCGTTACTGTTATTTCCTTGCAAAGTTAAGAAATATATTTTATACACCAATACGTCTTCAATATACTTGATATGGTATTAAGGAATTCTAATGATAAAATGTCATATTATTTTCCTGTCTTATTTACTTCGCTAATTGACCATGACATGTGATTAAAAGACAAAACTATAGGAGGTTACTTCCCTCGGTCTTAGGAAGTCTCCCCTAATTATTTCTTTAGTCTACTTTTAATGATAAATTTATATATATCATTGGTATAAAAACAAAACACATAATCATTACAATTGAATTGAGGGGAAGAAATAAATTTTAAACACACTGATATGTAAAATATCCAATAGTAAAGTTTATAGCCTGCAAATAAGAAGTTAGTAAAATTATTACTATATACATGTATTTCGTGTTGCTGTATGTACCTGGATATCATTTCTGGGGTTTTATAATAAATAAGAAAGGCATTTGAGCTTTAACGAAGCTTAAAATTCGAATTTCAAAGTTACTACCGGCAAGTCAGGTACTCTCGTCGAAAAGTAGTTCTCGCCGTTACTCATACTTGGCCTAAACTGTAAAAGAAACTTCATTGTATTTTTATAAAAAGCTGTTTACCAAACATGTATATAGTGTATGGCGCTTTTGTTATTACAAGAAGGGCTTGGGGTCGCTTTCTTATTGACCCATATATTTATATATATATATAACCTACATCTTATTGGTATTACACTTTTCTTACCGATAATGACGAGAATTACTTTTTTACGAGAACACAAACTTTCCAGTTTATATAAAAATAAACTCACCACTAAAATTTAAGTGAAACTCACCAACGGAATGTGTTATCCCAAACATTGTATTTTGTTGGTCTATATTTGTACAATTCCACCTCCTATTTCTGAACTGATAATGACACTCTCTCAATCCGAGTTTAACTCCGTCTCCGATAGTTACTATGGCGTCGGGACGTTTTCTACAAATTGATCTTTGTCTTGGAGTTAATCCAGGAATTTTATTACAAATAATGTTCGATGGTAAAGCTACTACTGATGAAACTGACCTGTAAAAGTTATAAATGTCATATAGTGATTAATTATATTAGGATTCCTACAAGTGTTTCGATTTAAGTGAAAAAATGAGGTTCCTTTCAGAACATTTTTTGGGTATCTGTGTTGAATACGGTTCACATCGATTAATGTTTGTCTTTTCTTCATTAAAATATAGTTTTGATTGTTATTTTCAATTAGATTTGTTGCCAGTAATAATTTTTTAGACAATTGCAATAGAAATACCTTAAAGAAGAAGATGCAGGGAATTATTATCACTTAAAGGTATCCGTCTTTTACTTCTTTTTTGTATCCCTAAAGTTTTCGAGGGTATAGAAATAATGATCATCTTGACTTTAACAGTTCGATAGTAAGATCAATACTGAAAAGGGAGGGGTTCGTTTGACAATGTGGGAAGTATAAATACTTATGAATTCCGACAAAACAGAGAATGTGATATCTGTGATCCGTGTTGGGAGAGTTTCACACTCTCCGCATGTAAAAGGATTTGTCCGGGCCTAATTTATCCGGGGCAAAATGCAAATTAAATGTTCCCTCCACTTAACCAGTTTACACTTTTATTTAAGACGGTTATAACTTTCTACCCATCATTCTGGTCAATTCATTTTGCAGGATAAATACTTAACTCAATAATTATTTAATCTTTTCTCGTTCAAAATATACATGACATATGTGCCGCTGACCGTTCAGCAAATAGCAATAAATGTAGTATTTAAAAAAAATCTTAAAGAGTACTTATTCATGAACGCGGTTTTGTCGCTTGTATTCAATACGAATTCGAAAGAGAAAATTGAAGACATTTCATTTTAAATACCATAGAGTACTAAAATCTCTTCACGTGAAGAAATATATTTCTTACTTATGCTCCTAGTGTACTCGACCCCAAGGGCGACTTGGGAATAAAAATATGGTCACTTAGGTCTTCTTTCGACTTGCCAAGGTGGGGCGTCCGTTTGCTTGTGCGGGATGTACAAGTACGCAGCCGCGTAGGGTCAGAATTAGGACGTTAAATCCGATGCCTGGTTTAGAGATAGTTCCACGCTGTCTGCACGTAAAGAACCCTTGCAACAACACTTTGAGGGGTCCATAGGTGGTCTGTTACAAGACAAAATTTATGTCCCTAACCAAAATACCCTCATTTATCAGTGGCAGATCAACTTTCCACGGCCTTCATCTCGAACGACCTCTATAACATGACCTACCGATAGTATGTATTGCTAATTTGTTCTCGTCCTGATCATGCATGAAATATTTGCTACTGGACGTTAAGCAAACAACAATTAATCAATCAATCCTAGTGTACTGTTTTAAATAAATAAGAAAGACTTATCATTTTTATATCACACAGTATGCTTTCTTGTACATGTACTAACCAGATATGTAGTTTTTGTGATTGAATGCAAACACCATGCGATATACAAGTATAATAATTGTGTATAATTCACGACAAAAAAATCCTTACATTTGACGATACCCAAAGCCATGGATAAGAGCTTTTTTTTTGCTGTGTTTCATCTCAAAAGTCACAATACGGAGCATTAATACAAATTATATCGAGTTCAAGACGACTTAAGCATGCGGTTTAGCGGCATTCTGTGTTACATGTAAAATAATACTACATTTGTTTATTGAGGAACCCGGATGCAGGACTAGACCAACATATTACAGACGATGCAGCTTTCCCATATATGTACATGTATTTCGTTCTTAAAAATTAAACATAAACTTGCTGAATGATATCACTAATGGCTTCACGTTAAAATGTCTCGAGTCATTTTTAAAGTCTGCTTGTGAAAGTACTCCGCTTTACTAACTTTTAATACTCTTGTAACAATTTAGAATAAAAAAGGCAAGATATAAACATTTATTACTAATAATATTCAAACATTATGAATATCATGCTTGTTAATTTCATTCTTCAATATATACTAAAGCATTACAAGACATTTAAAATGCATTGTAAGGCTATAATAAAATAAAAAGTATAAACAGAAGCCGAATAATTTATATTTTATTCTCTAAAAAAATTGTTTCCTTGACAAAACTAAGAGCAAAGTCATTGCAGTATATTGTTAATGCATCCTGTCCTTTTTAATTTTTTTTTTACATCATACACAAATCCTGATTAAAATTCAAATACCATAACCAAACCTTTTCAGAATGTATTGCGTTCACAAGAACCTTTGCAATAAAATGTAAAAAAAAAAAACAACAAATTTCTGTTAGGTAAGGAGACGTTAGGAATGCTTGACAAAATATGAAATCATCCTTGTGTGAACGATTCCTTTACATTACAATATATTTGCAGTGATTTATGTGTTATTTTATGCTGTGTATTCCAGTTTTAATTTATATATCATAGTTTATTAGACACCTATAAATGTTTGTAGATCTTTATCTTACAAATAACTCTGTTCACAAGACTCGTATCGTTTTATCTCATTTCCATCTTAAAACATCATAAAGGTGTACAGACACCGTGTTGTATAAGGCAATATTCAAAATGAAGTTGTAGAAACTTCTAACCGCATCATTAATGCTTGAAATTACAAAACGACACAAATTAAAAACATCAATTTAAAATGCATAATGTATAAATTTGTACATTTTGAATAATTTTTAACATAAAAGTAAATTGAGGGTGAAAATGTTTTTCAAAGAAAAATTCGAAAGTGATGTTTCTGCTAAAAAAGACTCTGAATGAACTAAACACATTAAAACAACGTAAGGGTGGCACTAATATGTACCCAAATATTCATTTTTTTTTTGTCATTATTACATCTTCTAATAATTTACACAAGATTCGTTAAAATGATAAAATATATCATCATAAATAAAATACTATACTTAGGCAATCTACATTAAAATAACAGGCACATGAATATATAAGTAATCTGGTTACATACATCCGAGTAGATTTATACGAAAAGCTTCATTGAACTCTGGGTAAACTATAATGTTACAGACTGATATAAATGTAGAACAAATAATTGAGTTTTAATGTCGGCGCAATCTTGCATAAGCGAAGTAAGTATATATGATGCTTTGGTTAACACCTTATAGACAGTTACCTTGAAGTTTGGAAGGCTGAGTTCATGTAACTGAACACAAGTTAAATATATAAACCATTATTAAAAATAATAACTTAGGTATTCATTTATCATACTTTTAAAGATATTTCATAATTATAATAGTAAAAACGTCGCCAAGTGTTGACGATTTGAACATTTTTTTATTTTTTTTAACATAATTAGATAAATGAGACAAGTATTTTAAATTGATATATGTATGAAACAGGTCTGACAATTTTTCTTATATTTCATTTTTGTATTGTTGTTCACGGCTAGAGCAAGTAATAGTAGAAGGGCAGTTATAGTAGTAAACTATCTCTTGAACAATAGGACGTACAAACTGCATAGTTATAACTGTGTAATGATTCTACACTTGAATGGTGTTTATTTCAACAACCAAAGCAAATATGTCAGCCCTTTATTTTTGCTCTTTAAAAGTGTAATTTACCAAAAAAGATTAGGTTTTTGAAGATTTGTTTGTGTTTAATGGGTAACTTTACGTTTTTGTGTGTGATGAGACCTGATTATTACTTGACCACCCTAGAGCCTAAAATAATAATTATAATCAAAGACAAAATAAAATATTTTAAACGTTTAAGTAAACAAACCCATAACGGATCACCACAGGAGAAAAATAAATCTGTAAGAAACACGTGCTTTAATACATTAACAAATAAGGATCATATTGTCCGTTTCACATTAATGATAAACTGTGAAATTAAAATTTTCAAACATTACCGTATAGATTTCGTAACAACTTGTACCGTTGAAATTGATGATTTATTTCATTTGGATAAATGTAGTGTTTTTATAAAAAAAAAAGTTTGTGAAATTAATGTCAAATTAAATATTCATAATCATAAATAATACTTTAAACGATTTATAATAATCAAATATCAGAAATATTTAGCTGATTCAATAGTATAATTACCCAAAAGAAAATTTCTAAAGGTTTACGAAATTTGCAAAGGTGATAGATATCATCTTCAATAAAATAGATTCTTTTAAAAATCAGTAAAAAATATGAACATAAGAATTGCATAAAATGGAACCATTACAATTTTATTTCAGCCAATCAATCTTAAGTGTTTACAACTGGTACATGAAATATTTATAAGTGATGATGTTACTACTCACAGAAAGTTCCCATAAACACAGTATGTGAAATAGAGAAGTCCCAGTAGAAATTTCGTATGACGACTAGCTCCCATTCTCTCTCTCAGTAGACATTCTCATGTCATTAGAGGGTTTCTCTATACCATGCTGTACCACATAATATTGCAACACTTCATAACTGTTAATCCAATTCTTAGCAAATAATTCTATGCCAATTTGTTTCAATAGCCTATGTATTGTGCTTCATTGCAGCATTTGTTTGATTGGTTCGAATATTTTTTTCGACAGCTGAAGTCTTTGTCAATTTTCACGTCTATGATTAATTGTCATTGGTCTAAACGCTTCAGTTCTCAAATCGCTCCACCCCTTTTTATAAACAGCATAAACTTATTGACAATATTATCGGGAAAAGGTATCATCTCCTTGTAAGAATATACTATGTATATATGTATGTACTTACCGTATATGATAGTTAGTAATTGTAACTATTCGAGCGTATCACCACTTAGGAACAGCCTCACAACGTCAAATTGTATATATAATATCATACTTAACAATACGATTTTAAAACAAGTCAAGCTTTTATACATACCATTCATAATAATTGTCAAATATCAATTATGGTTTTGTTTTCTTATTTTTCACGTCGATTGGCACGGCACTTGACATATCGGCCCTTGAGGAACATATCAGTACTTAGTGTTAAGTAAATTATTTCTGTTTATATAGTATAATCTAAATAGTAAAAATCCAATTCTTTAAAGAATTTACTGAGACCTATTTTTAAACTAGATTAGAGTGATTATACGGACTATCGTACGTATTGTCATGTTGTCTTTAAAAAGAAGTACTTTTCTTCTATATAACATATTTGTACTGATTGATTTGTAAGTCTATGATAATCAGATAGTGATTGTATACAGTTCTAATAATACATTCAAAAGATAACAGGAATGGTAAAAAATTTGGACAGCACAACGGACCACGCAAGCCACCAACACACAACTCATATTTCTTCATAATTCTCACAATTTTGTTGAAAATGATATTCTTTTATAGTTCGTAGACATGTAGAAACTTCAAATAACAATTTAATAAGATACAGAAAATGAATCAGTAATGAAAATACAATACTGCATATTTGTCAGTTTTACAAAATTGAAAATTCAGGAATTACAAAAAAAATGTATATCAATGGAATATAATAAGGCGTTTCTTCCGATTGCAAAATAGAAAAACCAACCAACTTATGAGTTATGTGTTTTATTTAGATCAGAAGCTATTTACATGAGACTAAAATTTGAATAAGAAAATTGCTTTATCCTTTAACAAAAGCTAGCATATACTATGTTTATTAGACACAGATTTCGGTAATAACAACACTAGTTCCTGGAATAACGGTGATCAATAATACCAAATTAAAATTAGGGTTCCCCAAAAACAAATTAGTACATGAAAAAGAAACAACCAGAAACACATTAGAGGCAGTTTTGCCTAAGGTAGTTGCAACCGCAGTTGTAGTACATTTACACGATAATGTAATTTAAACAAATTGAATTTATGAATGAAAATGTATCACTTACATTATCAAGAAGATTGCAAGATTGTCAAGATTTGATCATACAGCAACGCCTAGACACATATGTGTAACATGAGATAAATATATAATAATAAATATGACATATCTCAGTTTTTAACTTCTGACAGCTGAATGTATTATATGCGTGGGGACCAACAGCCCACCATCAGCAGTGCAAATTAATGATAGTAAAATACGTATTATTTGTATATCGACCAAAATTCGCAAGATACGAACTTATGGCACAAACTTCATTAAGTATGGTTATTACCAATAGTGTTGAAAGCCAAATACATTCAACGTTTGGGAGTCTAAGAACCTAAGAAAAGCCCAAAACAGTCTATGGACAATGTTGCAGTAGACTGTCGAATCTTTAGATCCAGTTTAGTAAATACGTTAAATTCTTTTTGCCATGGCGTTGTCAGGTTGTTTGAGTTTGATTGTTCCTTTGATATCTAACGCCTCTCTTTTAATACAACTAGCAACAAAATGAAAAGAACCTAACCAAAAATACACAAACAAGTCTGATGTCAACTGGTGTCCTATAGTTGCTAACATCAACGGACTCTGATAGATAGTTGTATCGTTGGTAATCATAACACATGATCTCCTTATTTTTATTTTGTCTGAGAAAGTTAACACTTCAGGTTAAGTACATAGTTTATAAACTGAATATTTAAATCAAAACGTATCTAGTAAAAATATATAACACACGGAATAATCTTAAATTGAGAAACATGTTTCGGGGGTGAAAATTTCATTATCCTCTATTTATAATTGAACTTTTTAGATAAACCATTCAATCAGAAACTAACAACATTAAAAGTATTCATTAAATGAGCTTTGAAAGGGATTTAAACGACATTTAACATTGTACAACCGGGGATATTTATAATGATCACACATTTCTTGAGAAATATCTATAGAAGCTTTTAACAAAAGCAACACACCAAAAATGGCTGTTTCTTCTGGTCCAGATACTCATAACAAAGATGAAAAGATGTCGTCAGATTTATTGAGTTAGATCAAAGAATTTTCACGCCTTAGATAGTATACATCGCAGTTCATTGCTTAAGACGTCGATAAAGTCATTCTTTCCTATAAAACGACAGGAAAATAAGCCACAAAATTTTAATTTACCATATTATATTTATATGTTTGTTTTTACAATAAAATTTGAAAAAATGAATCATATCCATATAAAGGAAGATGAAAGTCATATGTGGAACCGTCCATGCAATATAATGGATTTTATTATGCGGTAAGTATACGAAACTATCCTTGCCCTGTACAAAAATGTTCAATAAATCAGTTAGCCTGAATGAAAGTTTAAGTGAAATGGGGAAAAGACAAACTGAAACAAACTGAATAAGCTTGAGTTTAATTCATTCGAATTAGATTCATGAATTGGTGAATAAATTTCGAAGACATGAGACTACACTTTAATGTAATGAGAAGATCCATAAATAAGTCAGATTCCATCTCCAAGGGTAAATTGTAAATATATAATCATGCAGTCATCTGTCAGATTTTATGAATTGTATCAAGCAACTGAAACATCATCAGAATATAGAAATAAATACGCATTGAACTTGTATATTTCCGGAGATATAAATACATAACATTAATGAGTGAAATATGTAGAATGCACTTATAAAAGCATCGAGAGCCCGATTTCACTTTAATTCAAGGTTTCTCAAAAACCATTCCGACAAATTTTCTGTAACAATTACGTTTGGTTGCCAAAAAATCCCGTTTTGTTGATGTAAAATGTATTTGGTGAAAATGGATTCATTGTCCTTGTTTACATTATTTTAAAAGTACATGTACTCATGTTTTACGTGAAAAGGAAGAAACATAGAAATTATCACATGCTGCCCAAGTGGCATTACCTCATTTTCTTGTCCTTATTGGTAATTTTTTATTTATATTGTTATTGTAAAAGCTTCTCAAAAGACTACGATTCTGATACATCACTAATTGATTGGTTGACTGTTGGTTACTTAACGTCCAGTGGCAAATATTTCATTCATGTTCAGGACGAGATTACTAATTGAAATGTTCCAGCTAAGAATTTAACATCTCGAAAAAAGGTAACACATTAACCTAACTCCGAATCACCCAGTCTTTGATCTTCCTCTTGAATGCTGCGTGCTAAGCAGACTGCAGTAAATACTAATTTCACTGTCTATAGTTTTAACCTACAATGGATTGGACTCGTGACTTTCGTCTCTGGAGGCAAACACGCTGTCGCATGCTCTATAGATAGATACTTTTAAAATCTTTATAACAAAATTGACAAAGGTACAGAGATGGACTGATTTCACATACAAAGCATAAGGTGGTACACAAATGGAGTAAATTTATGAAAAATAGACAATAGAAAATACAAATAAAAAGATATGAATAATAAAATGTCCATTTACCAGGAAGACTGATATTTTCATTCATTACCCTTATATGCAGTCTTTTAACGTGGAAATTTTTTTTGCATTAAACATAGCAATTAAGCGGTATTTGGTCTCGTTAAAACAAATGATGGAATGAGTTTTTTCCTTTAATTTTCTATACAAGGGCATATCAGGATATGATGATATTCGTCGCCCTTTTTGACATATTACAGATATTACATTTTGGTCAAAAATATTACAACGTCCAATGAATTGGATTATAGTTTGAAATCTGCGGAAAGTTAATATGTCGAGATCACAAAGAATACTAAAAACTTCTTCAAAAATCCAAGTCTCCTTTAAAAATCCTATAGTTTTTTGGGAGTTCTGGAGGTCTGAATTACTGTTTACCAGATTTGATTAACTTGATCAATGAGTGTTTGAGTGTTTGTTTAATGCTTAATGTGAGCCATTTATGTTCATTATGTATTTGGAAATTATAAGTAAGTCCGCATTTGTTGAGTAATGAAAATGATTCTTTTTATACAAAACAAATATTAACGAAAATACCAAACTCCAAGGTAAATTCAAAAAGGGAAGTCCATAAAAAATGACAAAATCATACGTTAGACTTTATCAACCAACGTTCCGTTGAAACAACTGTCTTATTCCTGACTTAGTAGAGACATTTCCCGAAGAAATAGTGGGTTAAACCTGGTTTTATAGCTAGCTAAACCTCCCACTTGTATGGCAGTTGTTTACAGTTGTTTAAGACATTTTGGCGAGTTCTGAATTTTTGCATATCAAATTTGTTTAACTTGATCATTCATGTTTGTTTAACGCTTGATGTATTTGTAAATTATAGTCCGCATTCGTCGAGTAATAAAACTAATGTATTTTATCCAAGGCAAATTTCAACCGTTAATTGTATAATGCAAGAACGTACAATGTATTAATGAACATGATCATTAAAAATACTCTTTACCAAACTTAACTGGGAAATTACTATTCAACACATTTCTGTGGTAAACGCAAAACTATTTATGAAACAATGAAATAAAAACATAGAAAAAGGCCAATGTCCTATTAATCGTCAAAATGCAAGTCACTATCATTGTTCTTGTTCTAATCAGTTTAACTGCTCATTAAAATTATGAAAATGTTCAACTTACACTTTAATAAATGAATGATGTGTGTATCATTATGAAATTACATAAAACATGTTATACAATATATCTTGATTCTTAGTTTACTTGTATCGAAAATATTTTAAAATAAGACCAACCTTCATAAAC